ATTTCAAATAACCTGATTGGACCCAGTGATTATAAAAAGGGTACTAGAAATATGCTAAATCTGTTTTGCAGGAACACAATCTAGAAGTCCCTTGGTGTTCAAAATAGCAAATTCGGTTATGGTTTCATAAACTGAATGTTTTAATTAATATAAAAACAATTTTAATCGATTAAAATCACTTACAGAGAATACTAGAAAAGTTGTCCATACAGTTTTAATCGATTAAAATACGAATCAATCGATTAAAATATTCTCAAGAATATAGTCTATCTATTTTAATCGATTAAAAAGGATTTATATCAGCTAACATCACTAAGGTGTCAAGTTTAATCGATTCTTCTTCATTTTAATCGATTAAAATTCTGTTATCACATTATTGAATTCTTCCAGTACAAAATTAATCGATTTTGTTATGAATTAATCGATTATTTCACTGTTGCTTTTTCAAACCTAGTATTAAAGATCAAATTAATAGGTTAATTTGTTGATTAATCGATTAATTTGTTCCTGAAAATAATTTTTACAACATCCAATTGAAAATTGGTCAGCAAATCAGAGTCAAAATTTCAAGTTTTTGTGTTAATCAAAATCTGCATAATACATTTAAAATATTCTTTGACCAAGTCAAACATCTTTCCAAGAACACTTTAGCTGATGTACTCACTATCCAGAAACCTGCGCCTCTACCTTCAGTCAAGGGGATATGTGCAATTAAAGCTGTTTTTTGCAGGCTCTGTCAAATTGGACTGCAATTCACAAAATTTGACATCCGTGACTCTTCATTTTGCTCACTTGAAGTCCATTATTCTCATTCTTCATTTTCTGGTTCAAATTCCTTCTCTCTTATTTCTTGTACTCACGTTTCAAAACCCCTCTCTAAACTATACAACAAGATGCTTAGGAGATCAAAATCAAGAAAGAAGCATAAAGGAGAATCTTCCTCTACTGCCAATCCTGGTGGTCATTTGGAAGCATGGTTTGATGGTGATATTGGAAGAATGAACATCTTCATTACTGAGTTCAGTCAGAAGCAGATTGTAATTCCAAAGTTCATCAAATTCAAGTGGCTTGATGAAGAAGGATTTACTGGTCTAAGAAGAAAACTGAAAAGTCAGAAACTAAGAACCTTCATGGAGTTTACTGGGAATATTCAACCTGATTTGGTTGGGGTCTTTTACTCCAATTTAACAGTGAATGGTTCAACAATCAGATCTCAGGTGAAGGGAGTTAATATGGAAATTACTCCTTCTGTTTTGGAACAAGTTGCTGGTCTCAAGGATAGTGGTGTCAAAGTATCCAAAGGGAACATCTCTGAAATACCTGACTTCAACAAAATACAAATTTTCAGGTCTTGCCTTAAGAATCCAAATGATTCGGTAAGAATTTTAAATGCTGGAAAACTTTTACTTGAACATAGACTGCTAGCTTTCATTGTGGCATGGATGCTTACTCCAAGAGGGAGTAATCATGCTATACTTAATGAGGGAGATCTTGCCCTCATGTACTGCATCTCTAATAATATTCGGGTAAATTGGGTTTATGTGATTAAAGATCACATGTTGAAGGCAAAAAGGTTGGCAGATTACAAACTGTCGTATGCCATGTTGATTAACAATTTCTTTAGATATTTTGAAGTTGATCTTACAGGAGAAAGCATAGAAACTCCTAAAGCTTCAAATGAAATTGATGACTCCACTTTGAGAAAAATGGGATATATCAAAATTGATGATGAATGGATTTCAAAATTTGATGCTGGGATGTCTGAAGATGAGGAAGAAGATGAAGAAGAAGACGAGCAAGGTCAAATTCCTTCCTCTCCAGCTGCTGCAGAGGTTCCTGAATCCACTGGTGGGGAGGCATCATATGAGAACATGGAGATAATTCCATACATGGAACAACCTGACCGTGGGACTCCTCTGTCTCAATTTGAAAGGTCCATGCTTTCTCAAATGGCCACAATGCAGGAAAACCAAAGGAAGCATATGCAAATGACCTATCAACATTTCCAGCAGACCAATAATCAGTTTACAAACCTTGGAAATCAGATTGCTGATATTTACACCAAACTGGAAGATATGCAGCTCAACCAAGGGAATTGGGATGATTGAGTTGTTGAAAAAAAAGGGTCCCTTCCTATCTTTTTCTTATGACATATTTCTTTTACTGCTAATTTTCATTTCTGGTCTGTAACATTAACTGGTTGTAAACCAGGAACAATCTTTTTAACTTTGCTTAATATGATGAAGGTTTTAAGTTGAATTAAGAGAGCCTAGATAGAATTAAACATAAATCTCTAATAATTTTAACTGATACAAAATAGATTTAATCAATTAAATCGATTAAAAGAAACACTTACATAGGAAATTCACATCAAAATAATCGATTAATTTGCGTATTAATCAATTAAAACCTGTATGTCATGTATTTGTATCAACTAAAACTAGTTTACATCAGTTAAATCAGGTAAATAAGATACTATTCTGATTTTGATGGATCTATTGGTTAAAACTTACTCAATCTAGTTGATATTATCTTAAAACATTTTCCTAATAATCGATTTTACAAAATCCGAACTGAATTAGGCATGATAGATGCATCAAACATTACTTAGTTTTCAAAACTAGTTGTTTTAATCGATAAAAACAAGCTTTAAATCGATTAAAAGCACTTATACAACATTTTTCTTACTGTTTTAATCAATTAAATGTCAATTTAATCGATTAAATCAACTTATGTTTCAAACTTTTGAAATTCATCACTGTTTTAATCGATTAAAACATTATTTTAATCGATTAAAACTAGTAACAAGATCATTTTAATCGATTTCGTCCTGTTTTTAATCGATTATTACTCTGGAAAGAAAAATTAAAGGCTTTAGTTAATGACTGTTCTTGTAACATGCTACTAAAGCATGGTTCCCTTATCTTTACACGTGTTAATTGTATTCATTACAAACGTGTTAATGAAGATAAGTTTGAATCAACTTTGATTGGTCTTTACATGAGTAAGGTATCTTGTTCAAACCTTTTGCTGTTTTTCAAAAACTAAAATTTTGATGCATACCTTGCATTGTATTTGCTTTGTTCCTCTGTTCCCTATTTTTGATGAAGTCAAAAGGGGGAGAAATAATTGCTTTGCTTTTATAATTGATTTTCCTTATTTAGGGGGAGTAGCAATATAGGGAGAGAAATAGGAAAATGATTAATTTTTGAATACTCACTAATCTATATATTCAAGTGACTTCTTCTACAGAGTTATTATTCAAAGAGGTGTTTGTCTTCATCAAATAGGGGGAGATTGAAAGTGATGAAGATCTTATTGAATTACTTTGGCAAAGATCTTGTTGATTTGATGAAGTAAAAAATGAAGTCAAAGGCTACTTTGTGGCAGTCAAAGGTCACTTAGATAAAAGAGTAGTGGGTTTAGTGAGTCTGCATCTCTGCTTAGGTATAATCATTTTTATCTCTCTGCTGCATGAGGTATCTTCATTTAAAAGATTTTACAAATGCCTCTAAAACGTGTTTAAACGGTTAAAACACAAAGTATTTTGTTAAAAGGTTTTTGAAGAAACTATTTAAACTAATAGTATATGAGCTTTATCAACTAAAATGTTCTTAAACACTTTTGTAACAGGTTTTTAACTGATATGTTTTCAAAATAATCGATTGTTTTCATTAGAAGGATTTTTGAAAACCTTCTGCCGGTATTTTTACTGATATAGAATTGATATAATCGATTAAAATGGCTTAGAATATTTTGAAAAGTGTTCTGGCAGAATTTTATTCGATACAAACTCAAAATAATCGATTGAAATAACTTGAAGTGTTTTGAAAGTTGTTCTGTCAGTATTTTAATCGATACAAATACGAAATAATCGATTAAAACAACTAAGAGGTTTTTCCAGAATGTTTTAATCGATTAATACAAGCTTGCTATCAGTTAAAATAACTTAGAAAGTTTTATGAAATCTTTTGGCAGAATTATAATCGATTAAAATGTGTTTCAATCGATTAAAATAACTAAGTGAATTTTTTTCAAAGTGTTTTAATTGATTAAAATAGATTGTTATCAGTTAAAATCACTTAGAAAAGTTTATAAGAATGTTTTGCAGTATTTTAATCGATTGAAAGACTAAACAATCGATTAAAACAGTTTGGAAGATTTTTTACAAAGAGTTTTAATTGATATAAACGATGTCGTATCGGTTAAAACAAATCTGGAAAATAATCAACAACTTTTTAACAGATTAAAAAAAGTTTTAACAGATTAAAACAAGACTTTTAATAGATTAAAACATTATTTTAACAGATTAAATAAACCAGCAGTTTCGAAAATCTTCTATATAAACAATATTGCTTGAACCTTTTAAAACACATCTTTTAGCAATCAATCTAGCAATCATAAGTGCTACTTTCAAGAGAGAATCGCGCTAGTTTTGTGAAGTTCATAGAAGTTCTTTCTTGAGGCAAAATTTGCATTCTTTTGGAGAAGAAACTCATACTACAGAGTTGCATAAATCTGGTTTGAGCATTCTAATTTCTTCTCTTTGTTTCTTTACTTTCTTTACTGTATTGTGGGTGCCTGGAATTGTGGGCACTGGGTTCTGTAGCTGGAATTTGGCTGCAAGGTTGGTCAAGAACTGGAATTTGGTTCTTGGTGAAGGTTTAGGTGCAGCAACTGGAATTTTGGTTCTTGTGGTAGATTGAGTGTGAGATTAAAGTTGTAATCTGTAAAACGTTAAATCTAGTGGAACCCAGCTGGAATTTGGCTAGAAACTGGACGTAGCCCTGGGATTGGGTGAACCAGTATAAATCTTGGTTGTATCTTTCTAAACCTTTCTCTCTTTTAATTCTGTCACTACCTTTATTTTGATTGCTTGTTGTGTGTGATTCAAGAACTGGTCAGAATTCTTAATCTTTGAAATAGATAATCTGTAAATTGTGAAAATCTTTCAAAGATCAATTCACCCCCCTCTTGATCTCAGCCTACATTTCTAACAGACTATGGGCCCAATGGATCCTTGTCCATCTTTGAATGGAGGATTTTTGACTTTATTTGCAGAGCCGAGCAAGAATTTGGGTCTACAATTGCCCCCCTTCACCCGACCAATTGACTATGGGCTAATGTGCCGTAAAATTGATTGGCGGGTGAAGGAGTTAACCTTCTTGCACGGTTGTCCTTCGGATGCTCCTCTTGTCGTGGTAGCTGACCCTCTGGATGATGAATGCAATATGATGCTGTCTTCAAGATGTTTCCTTGCTACAGAGGCTGACCCTTCAGACGACATGTGTGAAGCTTCAGGATGCTCCTTTGGTGAGGTAGTCGATCCTTCGATTTGCAGGATGCTACTTCGGTGAGGTAGTCGATCCTTCGATTTGCAGGATGCTCCTTCGGTGAGGTAACCGATCCTTCTAACAGTGGATGTGAAGATATTGTCTTTGGGATACTCCTTTGCAATGGAGTTGATCCTTCGGTCGATGTATGTAAGTCCTGCGATTAGGATACCCCTTTGCTGCAGAGATGATCCTTCTGATGATGAAGATATTGTCTTCAGGATATTCCTTTGCAATGGAGCTGATCCTTCAAAGATGTATGTAAGTTCTGCCATCAGGATACCCCTTTGCTACGGAGCTGATCTTTCTGACAAAGAGAGTGGTGGCGGCTTACTGCTCTTACTCATGCGCCAACTCCATGGGGAGTAATTTTTGCTTGAAATTGTTTTTTGACTTTTCTTGTGTAATCATCCGGTATGCCGGAGATTCTTTGATTTTGGCTTTTTCTTTAGCCATCCAGCTTTGTTGGTCGTTGAGGATTTTTGACTTTTTTTTCCAATAGTCTTCCAGCTTGTTGATTGTTGGGGATTTTTTTGGGCTTTTCCGTAGCCACCCGACTTTGTTAGATGCGGGGGATTTTTGATGGATGACTCTTAGGTAGGAAGGAATCCATTGAGCATTTGTTGATTCTTGATGATGCCTCTGAGTAGGCAGATGTTTCATCTGAAAACTTTTGGTTATATTTCTTTGCCTCTAAGTAGGCTGATGTTCCACTTGGGGTGTTGGCTCTTTGCTTGCCAGGTCTTGCCTATCGCAGGCAAGCAACTCTCTGAGGATGTGAATTTGGAGATTGCCTTTGCAGTAGGCTCATTGGGGATAGGTTTTTCTTTTTTGGTGATCCACCGGGGAATTATTTGTCTCCCTGGGGGATCTAGTTTTCGATTGCCCTCTAGGGGGAATGAAATTTATGATTCCTTGATTGATGCTGGTAGGAGCTGACTTTGCGAAGCCCTTATTCCATTGGGGGAATGGAATTTCTGATTCCTTATTTTGTGACCCACTTGGGGTTTTCATTGGTTACCTAAAAGTTAGGATTTAATTTCACATTTTTTCGCGATTTGAAATTTGACTTCTTTGTGGGGATAATGTGTGTGCCTTTTTAGTTTTTAGTTTCTTTTAAGCACGCAGACTTTTTCTTCTTTTTCTTTTTCTTGAGCCCTTGGGGGTATGGAGGTTTGCCTCCTTAATTGCTTGATGATGGATGTGACGCCTTTATTCTTCCATTGGAGAATGTGGCGGAGACTTGGTTGAGTATGTTTGATGACTCATGTGGTGGCGATGCTGAGCCTTGGGGAATATTTTTTGTTTTGCCTCTGGAGTAGGCAAGGATCCACTTGGAGATGACTAAGACTTTCCATTTGCTTTTTCTGTTGATGATTGAGCCTTCTTTTTCTTGGGTGGAAGAAATTTGAGTTTCTGGAAGCTCTTATTTTTTGTGGTGTTGCTTGATTATTGGTGGCAACTTGCTCCGCTTTCTTGAGGGAGAACTTTATTTGGAGACTTGTTTTGGGTGCTTCCTGTTTTCAAACATAAACATGGAGCCTAGTCTCCTTATATGCATGAATTTTGTTTCTTTATTGTTTACAAAGATTTTTATTTTTTATTTTTGATTTTGACAGAGTCGTTTTCTGCGACTATTTGTGTGTGGATGCCCTAAATGCAATCTATCCTTTTATGAGATGCGTCTAGAAAAGTGACTGGCATTCTCCTACTGGACTTTTTATCATGCTGATGGGCTCCTCTTTTATTTATTTTTTTGATTTAGCCCTATCTTTTGCCTAGACCGCCCTTTTGGGGTTTTCGATCTAGCGGGCTGCCTTAATTTTTGCCTAGGATATCTTAGCGGACTTTTTCCTTTTTTATGAGTGCCTTAACTTTTGCCTAGACCGTCGGGTTTTCGATCTAGTAGGCTGCCCTAACTTTTGCCTAAGAATCTCCTAGCACGCATTATTCCTTTTTTATTTTCATTTTTCTTTTTCAATGCTCCCCTGCTTATGAATATGATCATGACAAAAAGACTCTGCACATATTTATGATTTATCAATGTAGAGGCAATTTCATAAACTGGTCAAGAGAATTTTATTGATATGTATAAACAAAAGGTTTATTATTTTTGCAGAAGGATTACAAATGAAATTTAGAAGAATGGCTGGCCCAGGTTGGCTAAACTGTGTGGGCTACAACAATCATGTCTATGATATCTGCCCCCCTGGTAATCCTAGTTGCTTCTGTTGAGATGTTCGAGCCCGGAGTGAAGACTATGCAAGGTTGTCTGCTTCTGGAAGGATGTTACCTTAGTCACCTTCCAATTTTCGACTAAGGTAACTATTGTTCTTTGGGGATTTTTCTTTCTTCTCTTCTTCCCCTTTTCTTCTTCTTCTTCTTTTTTTTTGAAGCCTCTAGATTCTGCCTAGGACGTACCTAGCGAGGCGAGTGGACCCTAACTTTTGCCCAGGATGCCCTTTGCGGGTTTTCATCCTGGCGGGTCATGAACAATGTCCTTCAAGCATAATATTTCTTCACCGTATTGGGGTTAATCGGGTGTCGAAGTTCTTTTTCATTCATGTCGATGAGGATGAGATTTCCTCCTAAGAAAACTCGCTTGACCATGAAGGGTCGTCCATGATTTACCGCCCATTTTCCAATTTGGTCTTTCTGGGCCTGTAGACCCCAAATCTTGCCCGACCTCAAAATAAGAGTAGAAAACCTCCTATTCGAAGATGAACAAAGCCTAAAAAGTCACTAGGAGAGACTATTAGGCCCCATAGTAGAGTAGGAAGACTTTTTTGTACAACAAAAATAAGGATTTCTGCCTTCAGGGGTCGAGACCGCTGTCTCACTTTTCGGGACAATCGTCTTGCTTTTTGGGACCACCGTCTCGACCAATGGTAAGTCGAGACCACCGTCTCGTTTGGCGAGACGACCCTCTCACCATCTGGCAAGTCGAGACCGTTGTCTCGCCAAACGAGACCGTCGTCTCGACACTTATCCAAGTCGAGACCGCCGTCTTGAATGGCGAGACCGCCGTCTCGACCTTGCCAGTCGAGACCACCGTCTCGACCTTGCTAGTCGAGACCGCCGTCTCGACCTGACAGGCGCTAATCCCTATAAATAGGGGGCACTCTCCCCTTCATTTCACACAGTTCTTCCACCTTTCCTCCTGCAATTTCTCAAAATTCTTCTCCTAGAGCCCCTCCGAAGCATTTCTGGAGTTTCTAAGTGTCTAAGAGAGCTTTTTATAGCGTTTTCAAGAGAGATTTCAACATTGTAAGAGCGAAGGGCTTCCAAAATGCACCCTAATTTTTACGGGAATTAATCAAAATCTCGCTCCGGAGGTTTCTTCACTATCTCCTTCTCTTTTACTGTTCTTTTTACTTGTATTAAATTGCACAATAGCTATTAGGGCCATGTAGTCATCATTTTAATTCCCTAAATAAAAGGGTAAAAGCGTAATTTCAAAAAGTTTATTTATAAAATAATTGGCCTATTATAGGGAACTCGAAAGGGGCGTCGTAAGGGAACTAACACTTCCCTTACACGTAACTAACTCCCTTACCCAACTCTGGTTTTAACGACCAAAGTTGGTTTTTTTTTTAAAAAACCAACGCCTTTTTCTTTCCTTTCTCGATGTTTTTGGTAAAAACATCGGTGACGATTCCATAAGAACCCTTTCAAATTTGTTCTTAGGTCAGCCCGATTATCGGACAACCTAAAGGCATTGTAACCTCACCTATAAAAAATGCGAAAAATGGAAAGTCGGAACCATCGCGTTGCTCTGACCGCCTCTTTTGACGACAGCGACAGATGGCGACTCCACTGGGGAAGCCTAGAGAGTTGATCCCATTTAGTGATGGGCCAGTTTAATAAATAAACTTAGAAATTTCGCTTTTACCCTACCTTGTATTATAACATGCTTTAAATGCTTGGCTTTAATAACTGTTGTTTGTTTATTTTACGCAATTGTTTGAAATAAAAAATTGTACACAAACCTCTGCACACAATAGTTTCCTCTATACCCAGGGGTAAGTGAGAAATCCATAGGGAGTGGGTGGCAGGTACGGTTTGTCGTAGTGAGGGCCATGTGCCCACCGGTATGATCGGAAACCACCACTCAAGGTGATAACCTTCCTCTTTTGGCACAAAGACTGACTATGGCCTTAGTGCTAAGCATGGTCGAAAGGCTGGAGAGTGGGGACCCTATAATAGGGGCACCTTGGGGGCCTAAGCCTTGGTGAGAATAGTTAGAACCTACCCTTGCCAATGCACTCTTCTGCAGGAAAATCCTACCTCGTGATTAAAATGAATTCTCGCCTGATCGCGGATGAGTGAATTGTATGTGCATTTGTTTGTTGCATTTGATTGCATAGCATAACCAAACAACAGAAAAATCACAAAAGAAAAATATTTTTTACAATAAACGTCCTTATCTCGGACAATCTGCCTTTTAGCTAGCCTGGTTTCAGATTCTTTGTAAGTTAAGTAGCCATGTAGTCCGACAGAAGAGATAAGGAACGCTAATATTATTCTTTCACAATAAACCATTTTATCTCGGACAGTCTGCCTTTTAGCTAGTCTGGTTTCATGTTCTTTGTAAGCTAAGTAGCCACGCAGTCCGACAGAAGAGATAAAAGGCTCTGAAAATAAAATCAAAATAAAGACCCAAATCAAATAAATGGGACTTTGTTCACAAATATTAAAATTCATAAATCATCCATATAGGTAGTTTATTTTTCTAAAAAATAAATACGCAAATACCATCATACATCATGTAGAAATAAAACATGATAAATAGGAAAAAACAAACACTCGCATGCATACCCACAATAAGCATCATATTCATAAAACATACATTCTGGTTTTTAGAAAATGGAGGGGACTAGTAGACAATTGAAGAAAGTGGACATTCCCTAGTACCATACTGAGAAGCTGGAACGACTTTGCGCGATAATGTCGTCGGAGGTCTGCTACGAATTCGAAAAATCCTATGGACGGATACTCAACCTGTTAAAGATCTGTGTCAATCC